TATGTGTCAAATTGAAAACTGGCATTTCATTCCCTTGTCGTAAATCTCTTTTCAGGTACTACATAACTACTATAATATCGTTGACCCTCTGGAATTTTCTTTCTTCATTGCAGCTACCTGCAGCCCTTCTTGGAACTTATTCCAACAGGTAAAGTGGAGCAAACCACTAAAACAAACTGGCGCCCGAGCACACCCAGTTTGAACGTCACAAGTGAGAGTATTTCTAACCAGTTGAGAAAACCTTTCACAATGTCTATGAGAAACGTTACAAAAAGGACTGGTAGTATTTCATGTTTAGTGGGAATTATTAAACTAGGTCGAAATAGATCAGTTTTTCGTGCGGGAGCCGCTTTTTTATTACTACCGCTTTTGAAGAAAGAAGAAATTGACCCGAGCCAAAACTACAAGTAAAGGTAAATGCGAAAAGCTGCCAATGTTTTATGAAATAAATTATTAGCCAGCCACTAAATTTACAGTCCTCTTTATAAACGAAACCCGTCGCATAAGGTCTCGTTAATGAGCTGTTGGCATCATTATTATTAGTGAAAATCTGAAGAATCTACAAGAATTTTGTAGATTCATTTCAAGTAGAAAGTTTGAGTGAAAATTTGAGACAAAAATACAAATTCTGTATGAGAAAAGAACTATTTTTTATTCTAGAGAAGAATTTGTTATGCAAGTAATTTTCGACCTAATTAATCTCCAACTAGTCATTGATAGAAGTGCATTTTTCGTAAGGAGGCGAATCGGCATACTCAAAATACGGTCCCAAAAAACGAACGCTAATTGAGCTTTTTTTATTCACCGCAAGGGCACTGGTGCTAGTACCGCTGTTCAAAATACATGGCTTCTAATGGGAATTTTACATAATTTTGTCAAAATAATAAAAATAAACTTGTTTTTTGCCAAATAAAGCACAGATTATACTTTTGTATTTATTTCTAAATAAGTCTCGCATGTTTTAATTGATAAATTATTTAATTTTATCTATATAAAATGCAATTTAGGTAGGTATGACCTAATTCGAAAAGATTTGTTAAATAGTAAAATTTGGTTAGTACAATTTTTTTTTAATTATACCTAAATATCGCCCCCTTAATACTACAACATGTTAACTCGAAATTTGTGATTTTTGAGGAAAGCCTTTTTAAATTTCCTATAAAAAAAAGGCGTATTATGGCAAATCGGAATTATTTTTGACTATTTTGCAGGTAGTTGAAATGAATCTAAATCCTGATTATTTTAAAGCGTTCTAAAATCTCGTTTTTATTTGTTATTTAAAAACAAGATATCTAGTTTTTGAACTAGCAATGAATACAACTTTTTATCGATTAAAAGATAAAGAAAAATGTAGAACAAATAATAATTAATGTAATTAATAATAAATCTTCCTCACTCGCTTTCGCTTATGTTGGAATTATCACCTACTTCACTTCTGGTTTCTTTAAAAGGAGGTTTTCAAAATAGGCTTTATTTTCAATAAGAATTGGGGGAGATTTGGCGTTAAACAATGATAATAGAACTTAGCTAGTTGTAGCATTATAAAGAGCGTGCAAAATTATACCGGTAATAGTAGATAACTCAAAATCAAAAAAACTCGAGGTACCTAGTTGTAGTATTAAGGGGACGATGTAGTAGTTAAGAGCAAAATAAAACAAAGTTAACAGATTTTTTATTGTTATAATATGTACAAGCATTAAGGGAGATTTGGAAATGTATATGATATTGCCACATTCTTTAATTTTGGCTTTCCTCTTTTTATTTTTAACAGTACCATCAGTAAAAATAGTCTCACAATATTTGGAAATATCTTCTAAAAAGTGTAGAACAGCATCATCTTTAGAAAGTGCTTTATCAGCACTAGGAACGATATATGTGCTGTCACTGTTCTAATAAGCGTTTAGGATCCTATAAAAAACATTTACAATGACAAAATTGGGGTTCAACAAAAAAAATAACAGTAGGAACTCTTTATATAACATTAAAACTCTATAAAAAAACAAATTTTCTTTTATAGTAAGTTAAATTTAATATATAATTATTGTTATTTGTAAGTCAGAATCTATGACTCTAAAATTTTATTGAAACATGTAATAAAATAAACTAGTTTACAATAAATATTATATTTAGACATAAATACATTATTTAACTTACATTAGAAACTTTAAAAAGACATTGAATTGATTTCTACTTGTGTTTTCTTTAGTTTTACATGTGATTTGTATCCTGTTTTACAATATGAAACGTAGTGAATCGTGCTTTAATGTTTTTTGTCACTCATGTTACTTGTACTCAGGTACTTTTTTCACATTATTATATTCTTTTCGCCATTTTTTAAAAAAATCACTTTATTTTACATTGACTTATATAGTAAATAAACGTCAGTGACGTTCGACCTGCCAACTACAGTCAATTTAGCGAACTTTATAGAAAGGACTGAAATTTGATCATTGTCGATTCGCCTCCTTACATCTAGGCTTCATAGCCAGCACTAATATGATGTTTATGGTCAGCGCCTGCTGACTGCATTGAAAACATCCATAGGCGTATCGGTCGTAAAGGGAAATATTAAATAATTATTAATTTTCTCAGTAAAACTTATAAACTCCTAATCTAAAGATGATATTACCAAAGGCCTAAAGCATGTTCTAGTATACGAAAGGGGAACTTAAATGAAAAAAATTATAGGCAGGGTTCAAGGAAAAATTAAATATTGAATTAGTTTGTCGATATTATCAAAGTAATTTTTTTAACAGTTAAAAAACGGAAAATTTGTGATTTACAGTACAATTATACTGAAACGAAGCATATTTCTGGAGCGACGTATTTGATGTAGTTTTGTTGCATTCAGGAAGGGGAAGGAATAAAAAGACAAAATTGTCATAATATGTCAACTTTATAATAATAAATAGTAAGTACATCAAAAAGGTATATATATAATACAGATATATACGTTTTCAGTCAGTAGATAAAATACTGTATATAGATAGCCTAACAAGATCTACAAATAGTTGCTATTGATATGAACAGGGTTACATTTTCTGGCTACAGGGTGTATTAATATACAAAGCAAACTTCTAATAATAGCTTAAGGATTTTTTTTAATAAATTAAACATATTGAGTGACTATTTCAATTTGTTTCCAACAAGCCTACCAACTTCTACATTACTACTATGCTATTAAAGACATCCTGTAATTAATATTTGTTTTAGGAAATTTTGGAAAAATATATGTATTCAACAAGTTATATAACAAAAAAATGTATAGATACAGAAATCAGCAGTAATTAATCAACTTTTAACTACATATTTGAAATGTTTTTCTGCGTCTAAACATTTTCTTCACCCTGTATCGTTCCTGCACAACCTAGAGTGGCCACTAAAATGTCGGCAAGTAGCCCTACAACATAAGTCTTTAGCTACAATTCTTATCTATAAAAACTCTACTTCAATATTTTTACTTTTAAAAAATATTTATTAAGAAAAACATAGTACCTTATTTCCGAAAAAAAAAAAAAAAAACGCTTAAGGAGGTCCTTTCGCCGCCAATGTTAAATAAAAAATATTAGATTATGACTAAAAATTAATGTTTTTTCTAATAGTTGAAGTCCTTTTTACTTTCCTATCTGTATACAGATATAAGGAAAGTATAGGAATCATGATTTTTTTCGACCTCGAGTTTTCGACGGATTTTTACGTTTTGAGGTCCCCTGAATCCGTTTTGACTATTTTCGCGATGATGTCTGTGTGTGTGTGTGTGTGTGTGTGTGTGTGTGTGTGTGTGTGTGTGTGTGTGTGTCTGTGTGTGTGTCTGTGTGTGTGTCTGTATAACGCATAACTCATGAACCGATACACAGAAAAACACCAAATTTTAAACTTAAGCTTTGTTTCAGCGTCCAATGAGCTGATTAGATTTTGGGCAGAGTCGGAACATCTGGGGGGGTACTTTATAGGTGGTCATTTTTATATTTTATGGAATATATCTGTTATTTACGTTTGGAGAAGAAAATTCTTCAAATAAAAGTTACTTCTAATATAATTATCTATAATTTTTGTTATATGCAAAATTTTCCTAAAATGGTCCGTATTCGAGAAATTTGACAAAATGTAAAAAAAATAATTTTTTATAAAAATTGTTCAAATAAAAGTTGTTTGTAATATAATTCTCTATAATTTTTATTCTACACATAATTTCTCTAAAATGGACCGTATTCGAGATATTTGAGAAAATGTGTAAATTTCGAATTTTGAAGAAAACTCAAAAACGGATATAGAAAACAACATTAAATTTTAAACTTAAGGTTTATTTCGGCCTGACGTGCAATGATTAGATTTTGGACAAAGTCGGAACATCTGGGGGGGTACTTTATGGGAGACCGTTTTTATATTTTATGGAATATATCTGTTATTTATGTTTGGAGAAGAAAATTGTTCAATTAACAGTTACTTCTAATATTATTTTCTATAATTTTTGTTTTATGTCAAAATTTCCTGAAATGGTCCGTATTCGAGAAATTTGACAAAATGTGCAAAATTCTGATTTTTTTTGTTTTTACGTAATAACTAGATAGGAAAGTCATGTGTTGGACACATCAGATTTTTTATCTAATAGTGAACTTTTAACTATACCTTACCGTGCAAATTTTTGAAAACAAACATTTTTAAAAATGTATTTGTACAGTGTCTTACGAGAAAGTAAGACCTCAACAACAATTTTCGAATTATAATTAAGTATACTATTATTTATTGATTAGATGGAGTAGAAAAAAACTAAAAATAAGGTTTTTGAAATATTTAGGTTTTGTTTTTTACAATAAAATATATAGATTACCGCGGAATTTATTGAGAAATTAATATTAAAAAAAAATTCCAGTAACCTAGTTGAAAATTTTTTGTGATTTTTCAATATTAATTTCTCAATAAATTCCACGGTAACATATATTTTATTGTAAAAAACAAAACCTAAATATTTCAAAAACCTTATTTTTAGTTTTTTTCTACTCCATCTAATCAATAAATAATAGTATACTTAATTATAATTCGAAAATTGTTGTTGAGGTCTTACTTTCTCGTAAGACACTGTACAAATACTCACATTTTAAAAAAAAAATTCTCAAAAATTTGCTCGGTAAGGTATAGTTAAAAGTTTACTATTAGATAAATAAGGACTTCAACTATTAGAAAAAAATTAATTTTAGTCATGATCTAATATTTTTTATTTAACATTGGTGGCGAAAGGACCTCCTTAAAATAGGATAAATTGAACGTTTTAATTTACAGTGATTGGGCGTATAGATTCAGTCAAGTAGAGTCTGACCAAATTTCAACATTGACCGAAAATGGCTTATATTGCGGAAGTAAAATTACCCACAACTAGACGAATAGAAATAAGGAGCTGCAATTCAGTAGAGCTTGGCGCTGGGTGTATGGGTTTTGAAAATACTTTATTTTTAATACGATTTTAAACGATTTGCTTATCTGTATTTTAATTATAGTAAAATAAGAAGTCGTATAAAAAATAAAGTGTTTTCAAAACCCATACACCCTTACCATCACTAATAAAAGAGAGAAAAGCTTTTAATTTCTATTCGTCTAATTGTAGGAATTTTTTAAATATTTAATTTCACGTCTGCAATGTAAGCATTTTCGGCCTTTGTTGAAATTTAGTGAGACTTTTTTTGACTGAATGTATATGCCAATCATTGTAAATTAAAACGTTAAATTTATCCTATTTTAAGCTTTGATGTTTTTTTTTTTCGAGAATAAAGTACTATGTTCCTTTTAAACAGCTAATTTAGTGAAAAAAATAAGGATAAAGTGTGTATTTTTTATTTTCTGTAGATACCTATAAATAATTAGGTTATTATAGTTGACAGAAAAAAAAATAAAAGTGAAATATTTTTTAAAATGTAAAAATATTTTGAAACTACGTATATATTTCTAATTATTGCATCAAGCTAACAATATTTGATTGCGTAATAAGCAGTTTTTCTTCTCTAGTTTAAATCACATATTTTGATAAGCATTTTATATATACTTATACTTATTTTTGAGTTTAACTTTTACTAATTTATAGTAACAAGAGACTTACAAATATAGAATTTTCCATTTTTTGGCTTTATATTTTTTTATCAATAATGTAACAATGTATTTTCAACAATAATTGATATACTGATTATTTTTCCTTTAATATATTAGACAGGAATGTAGGCTTTGCATTGTTTTATTCGGTATTCTATTAATATAGTGGAATGATTAATTTTAAGGCAAATTAGACATTTTAGCAACTTAAACTTTCCATACAAATTTTGTATATAAATTCTGAAAGAGAATCAAATAATGATGTTGACACCAACCGTTTTCTAAAACACCTAATTGGAATTCAAAATTACCCTGTATATGTATAAATAAATGTCTAACAAAGAATACTGATTACCTTTAAAATAATAAGTTGATTTTTAAATTAAAAATATATAATGTTTATGATTTTGCTAACAATAAAAGTAAATTTAAAAGCTTTTTGTTTTCAATAATAAAATTACTGTATTTGAGATTTACATGCAATATCAAAAATATTTACTTAAAATACGTTTTAATTAAGTTTTGCTAAATTATTACAGAATAATAATTAATTTTGATTTTGTTAACAAATATTAATAATAACGTATGGCACAAATTCATTTAGTCTTTGATTTTTTTTAATGAAACAACTTGTTGAGTCAATAAAACTGACAACTATCGATGAAAGGTTTGGTGAGCAAAATTAATAGTGTCACAAATAGAGTAAAGGAGCCCACTGCAAAATGTTAGGTCGATTACTAGTATGGCTAAATTTTTATGACGTCGAGTAACTTATTGTGCAATAGTAATTCGTCTGCAATCGCGCCAATATAGTTTGCGTTATACGTTATAAAAATTGTGCCACCCTCTACCCATCATTTTTTGGGAAATTTTCTATCCTATCCATAGATAATAATTTAATTTACTTTTCTATACCCAGTGGCTACCATCACCTATTGCTTTAAGGGTGGCTGATGGGGTTGAAAATGACTATATCTACGTTATTTTTTATACATTCATCGCTTTTGTAGTCAAACTAAATACTGTTGGAAAGGTCGTGAAATTTCCAACAAGAAAATATCCGGCTGCCGCGCGAAAGCGTTCACAAAACTTAGGCTGCCGATATTTTGTGCGCTTGCGAGTTTTGGTCAAAGTTAAAGCATCGTGTCTGATATTTTTTATAAATATTTAAATTAACTGTTATGTTTATTGGTTTTTATTTTTAATTATTTTAAAAACGTTCTTTTAAATCTTTTTTTTTATTTAAGATATTAATTAAAATGTTAATAGGAATTAAAATATGTAAGTACTTAAGTTTAAATCACTGCACTTATTTTTAAGTTATTTCGATTTACTTTATTCCATAAAAATCCACAAACAATGCTGTGTATTGGAAATTTTTTTTGTAAAATGTGGGATTTAACTATTTTCATGTGTAAATACTTTTTAGAACACTTTGTATAATAGATTGCAACGTGCTATTCGAGCACGTCGTTAACAATAAAGTATATTCAGATATTGGTGTCAACGACGTGCCCCAAGAGCACGTCGCAATCTATTATACAGTGTGTTCCAAAAAGTTTTATACGCATGAGAAAGTTTTGTTAAAAAAAAAAAAATTATTCTTAATAAAATATTCTGCACCCCTTAACAATACATAATCAAACGTTAAATTTTATAAAATATAGGTGATATACAGGGAAAATAAAAGAAAATACTTATGAATTTCAATATAGAGTAAGATGGTAATTAAAATACAGGAATTAAAATATGTACTTAAATTTAAATCATTGCATTTATTTTTAAGTCAATTCGATTTAGTTTATTCAATAAAAATACTCATCCATAATATGGATTGAAATTGAAAATTTTGCAAAAAAAGCGATGGGTAGAAGGTGGCACATTTTTAACGGAATTAAAAAAAAAAGAGGAAGTTTTCAATTAGTCGGGATATTTTTTTATGTATGTTCAGCGATAATTCTTTATCACGTTGTGCGATTTCCACAGGGTTAATCTCATATAAATTTGGTCAAGATCTGATGATGGTATCCGTGAGAAAATTATCAAATTCTTCTTTTTTATGTATTTTCAGCGAAAATTATTTACCATGTTGGCCGATTTTTTTTTGTTATACCTTGGCAATTGTCCCATATACATTTGGTCAAGATTTAATGATGGGATTTGTAAGCAATACAGCAAACTCAATTTGTGATTATATCCGCACGATTTTGAAACCGATTTTTATAACTTGTTTATATTGTTAATAATTTGTTATAACGTAAAACGCAAACGATATTGGCGCGCCTGCTGACGGATTACATTGCACAATATAAAAATTTAGCCATAACTAACATCCTAACATTTTACAATGGGCTCCTATTCTATAATGTAAAATATAAACATTGTCTTCATAAAATTAAAACGCAAATATAAAACGTATCACAATAAAAAAATGTATTTCAACATTATACAGTGCGGGTCTAAAGCCAATCCATCCCATTTATTTTTTGAACCGTAATTAATAATTGAGATATGAACCAATAAAAAAACTTTGATTTTAAACAAGAATAGTACAGTGCCAAAGGTTAAAAATTTGTAGTACTTGAAAATTTAAAGCAATGGATTCGTTGAGTAACAAGAAAAAAATATTTTATTTTTATTGATGTCATTGGAAAGGGTTTGGAACAAGCTTTCAAATGATGTATTCCTTGTCATAAGATCCCATTTAAAATTATCTTTCAAAACGGCTCCCGTCCGCCATTTTTAATAATTAAGTCACTTAATATCAATGAAGAGGTAGTATACATTTCTTAGTTCAATTTCCCAAAATTTTAAATTCCTAACTTTTACGGTTCAAAAAATAAATGGGGGGAGAGACTTTAGACCCGCACGGTATAGTGTGATACCTTTATATCTCAGTTAATAAATATTATTATTACTTTTAAATTTAGGAAGTAAAGTTACATGAACGATTATTTTGGAACAATCAGATTTGATATTCGTGGAAGAAATAGAGGTAAAATAAAAAAAAATTGTGATTTTTACAACCTTTACTAAATTTGAAAAAAAAAACAACTTCACTTCAATAACTTTTGAAAATATTTCTTTTTTTTTAATATTCCACAATTTCGGGAACTACGGATTTTATCGAATAAGTGTATTCTCCATTTTTAATTTCTTTTTATTAAGAAAATTTATCAACAATATATTTTATACAAATTTTAATTTTTTATTTTCACTCATTATAAATCAAATATTTGTTCAAATTTGGGATAAGAGGGTTTTTTTATGTTTCCCACATTTCTTTCTATTACAGCACATCAGATTGTCAAAATAATCTCATTATAGGTTTGTTCCAACACACGCGAAAACCGTAATATTACCGTACAAATCGTGCGCTCTACCCAAAAATTGTATACAGCGCATGATTTGTACGATATTAGGGTTTCCGCGCGTGTTGGAACAGACTTTATGTGTATTGTTACCACAATACATTCCCCAATCGCTAAAACTGAGATACATAGAAGGTATCACCATGAAAAGCGAATTACAGTTGTGTAATTGTTATTTGACTCTTTAGACAAAAGTAATTGTTAAATTAAAATTTAAAAAATGTTACAAAAAACAAATTAATACTTATTGAATTTTAAGCAGGCGGGAAAAAGTTTATCTTCACAGAAGGCTATAACTTTGAGCTAACCTGTAATACATTTCTACCTTTTATTCTACGGCATGCGCTTATTTTTAACTTAATTAAATATCATTGCAACAGGTAAGGACCAGCCTTGGCGCTATAATGAGCGCCTTTGTCATGACATACTATATGTACAAATTTTAGGTTGTTCAAAGTAAAAAGGTCGTTATAAATACTCTTAATGTCAAGGAATACGTTCCTGTGCGTTGTGTTTTCCTTTTTACTCAGTGCTACTTGCCATCCGTCAACCTGCAATCAAATTTAGTATAAACATATATACATTTGAGAATTATATGCATACAATTTGTCTGTTCATCAAAAAGATGGAAGTACTTTGCTGTAGACGCTAAAAAGCCGTTGTAGAAAATGCTAATGTCATGTATTTGATTAGATAATTAACTTGACATAAGCCTTCATGACGCAGGTCGTTAGCGCGCTCCGAGTTCAATTCCCGATAAAGGCAATCTTTTGTCGCTATTTATTTTGTACTATTTTGATAACGGTTTATCATGTAATAAATGTAACGTCTACTTACTTCAGTGTCCTCAACAGTAAAATCAGCAGTACGGAGAGCTGCACAAACAGCAGGGATGACTGAACGCGAGCGTTCCTTGTAGTGATCGAGATTCCAAGTCTGAAAAATGATGCGCGACTCCCTGCTGACGTACGGATTAATGCTGTGACGTGGACTGTATAGACACTGTTCCTTGTCCCACCTAAAAAGTGTCACCCTATTGAATATTTATAAACACGAATTCCATTACACAATTTTAATAAATTCATTAACGCTAGAAGGCAGAAGGAAATTAAAATAGTATTAGATATATATGAAATTGATTTATTTATAATTATACTTCGGACTTTGCGAGCATTGCCACGTTAATTACAGTTATTATTATAGAGTAATTATTAAAACGCTTACATGTTGGGAGTTTTTAAAGAAAACAAGGTGGTTATTCTATAAAACACCAATCCACGAAATTAGCAAGTTAAAATAAAATTATTTTATAAAACTATATCTGAACCAAATTTGTTTTTTTATTCAATTATGTATTTGGAACACAAACGGGATATACCTAAAAAAGTTTTCCTATGCTTATTTAATGAGTTTAAACTAAATACGTTTGACCTAACTAATTACAAAATATGAATACAATAGATGAAAAATGAGAAAACAAAAAAAAAATAAGGTACACTAAAAAAATATTTTTTAAACAATTTCTAAAAGAATTTTCGGAAATTGAAAAAATATCAGCTTCGAGTATACGTTCATTATTGAGTTTTAACACATGTAAAGGAAAATTTTTGTAGTAATTAATGTTACTCGTATCTAAATTAAACAAATTATTACTTTGGGTAAAGTAGTACTAGAAATATTGTAAGGTCATAAAATAGTAGGGGAGACTGGGGCACGTTCGGCCATGGGGCACAATCAGCCGTCGGCTATAAAAATTTGAATTTTGAAGTTTTCGCGCCGATTTCATTCTTAAAAGTTGCCAACATACCCCCGCCAGTTACCATATTCGCCTCGCGTGTTTAGTTTCTACTCAGAAGTTTTTTCCTGAAAAAGGTGTTTTTGGCAAGAAAAGATAAGTTTTGTTAATATTCCTATTTCTGACATGTCACTTTCTCGTAGTCATTGCAGTTTTTTTTTTCAAAATCGAGTTACATTAGCTCTGGTATGTGTAGTTTTACTATTTATATTAACATAACCTACAATTTATCCCTTATGAGTGCTAAATATATTCTATTAACAGAATGCCGGGTGGGGCAGATGCGGTCAGTGGCAGAAAGTGCCCCACATAGTTTAAACGTATTAAGCAGGAGTTGACTGGCTGTGTGGTTTTATGAAGCTACATCGTACGTTGTCATTGAGGAAATCCGAGAGAACTAGTTTGGAAAGAGGACTGGGTTTTAATAAGACTGAATTTTTTAATAACTACAAAGGCGTGTTAGAAAAATACAGATTTACACCTGAAAGGATTTTTAACCTAGATGAGATCGGATTGACTACGGTCATGAACCCACCAAAGGTCATAGCTCCAAAAGGGAAACAAATTGGTCTTATAGCTACGGTCGAGAGAGGAGGATTAGTAACGTTTCTAGGAATTATCAACGCACTATAGGGACTGCACTTCCTTTCGTATACATTTTCCCGAGAGTGAAAAATATAGAAAAGTATCTGAAAGGTGGACCTGCATTAAGTGCCGCATTTGGCAATAAGCCAGGGTAGATGACCGGAGAATTGTTTGTTAAGACACTAGAGCACATTGTAAAACATACAAAATGCAACAAGGACAATAAAATTATCATTCTTATAGATAATCACAAGTCCCACAAAACTTTGGAGGCGATACTTTATGCAAGGGAAAATGGACTTACATCTCACAAACTCCAGTCACTTGATATTGGAGTTTTTGGCCCCTTTAAAAGTAAATGTGCGGTTTCTATAAATGAATGGTTGTCAAGTAATCTTGGAAAAACAGTCACAGTAAAACTTATCCCTAGACTCACTAAAATCCCATTTTTAGAATCATTTACACCCCGGAATATAAGCAGTTCTTTTGAAAACTCAGGAATATGGCCAGTTAATTCGTTAGCATTTACGATGCTACTTTGGTATATAATGATAACGAACCTACAGTAAACCCCATATCTGAGAAACAGGATGGAAAAATCGAAAACGACATTATTGAACAAGAAGATTTTAGAAACCAACCGTCCACTTCTAAAGAAGCTGTGATATTGCCTGTTCTTGATAGATTCGAGAGTGAGAATTCTAGAAACATAGCAAAAACTAATGCACCAGTCGAAGAGTTATATCCTGAGTCTGTTCGACCGCTGCCAAAAAAATGTTAGACCCAAAACTGTGTCAAAAAAGCCTAAAGCTAATCAAGAGGAATCAAGATTTTACACTGAAACAAAGAAAAGGGAGTTTTGAAGAGACCCTGCACAAATACTGATTCATTCAAAAATAAAAAAATAAAACAGGTCAAAAAGAAGGTATTTGCAAGCTGACCATGATAGTGATACAGAAGAAAGTTTCGGGTCACTATTGTCTATTTTTATGTATGAGAGAGTAATAAAACAGCATTTCTAATGCAAAACTTAGTACGGTCATTTTAAATATTTTTACAGAATAATCTAAATATTTCCTAAAATTGTAATAAATGTACCTGAGCTATTACAAGTTTTGGGTCTTTTATTGGTCCTTTATAAACATAAGCTGTACAGAACAATAGAAAAAGGTTTGGACAGGCCAAAAGCCCTGTGTATTAAAGATTACATAGCCGTATCTTAAGATTATGTAAAAGTGTTGATGACACAGTGGAATTAGTTAGTACGCTTGGTGTTGGGAAATCTACGATTTACAGAGTTGTTAAAGAAGATAAATGTGGCGAGTTTCAAACAGCACGTAAAGCTCCAGGAAAACCAAAATTTCAATTAGAAAATCTTTTGAAAGAAAGACTTCGAAGGAAAGTGCATGCGTTCTTCTTTAGAAAAGAATTTCCGACAGTAGACAAATTTCTTGCCACGGTTCGAGATGATAAGGATTACCCTGAAATGAGTCGAAGCACACTATGGAAACTTTTAAAAGAAATATGTTTTCTATGGAAAAAGCATTCTAGAAAGTCTATTTTAATAGAAAGAAGCGATATTGTAGTATGGAGAAGAAATTACCTAAGGACTATAAAAGAAATGAGAAACCAAAGAAGAAATATATTTTATTTAGATGAAACATGGATCAACGAGGGACACAAACCAAATAAATTTTGGCAAGTCGAAGACAGGCTTTTTTAAATAATTTATCTACTGGTTTAAATCCACCATCAGGAAAGGGGCGCAGACTAATAATAGTACACATCGGTAGTTCAAACGGTTTTGTTAAAGGTGGTTTATTGACTTTTGAATCTACTCGTACCGGTGACTACCATGAGGACATGAATGCTGATGTCTTTAAAGAGTGGTTCAAACAAATTATAGATCTTCTTCCTCAGAACTGTATAATAGTAATGGATAATGCAAGTTATCACTCGAGACTTATAGAAAAAATGCCCACAACCAAGTGGTTAAAAAAAGATTTACAGAATTGGCTAAATTCAAAGAATATTTAGTTCCATCCCGGTTCTTTGAGAAAAGAACTGTATCATTTGTGTTCCCTTCATAAACAGAAATTCAAAAAATATGAAATTGATGAAATTGCAAAAAATCGTGGGATGACGGTGGTTAGATCACCACCATATCATTGCGAAGTAAACCCGATTGAACTGATATGGGCACAGATAAAGGGAGAAGTTTCAAGAAAAAATAATTCTTTTAAAATGAGTGATGTTAAACAGTTGTTTTTGGAGGCTGTGAATAATGTGAAGTCTGAAAACTGGGAAAAGGCAGTAAATCATACGATTAAAGAAGAAGAGAAAATGTGGAAGTTGGACAATATTACTGATGAAATGATCGAGCCACTCATTGTAAATATTGGATGCGACAGTTCATCTTCTGATTTCGATTCTGATTTGGATTTGTAGGTAAGAAGTAGTTTTTATATTAAAATTATTATTTATGAACGTAACGTTGTTTAAAAGTCAAAGTTTAAACCCTTATACCTACATAACCCGTTTGGCACAATGTTCTTAACATACCTTGTGGAAAAACAAAACATTTTAGAAAAAATTTCACTTTTTTACCTTCAGCTTTTTGAGTCCAAAATGATTTTAATATACTGGTTTTTGAGTCCAAAATTGAGCGTCATCGATCGTAACAAAGTTTATCATAAAAGAGGGAAATATCTGTGTTGGGCAGATGAACGAATGTTGACCGTATCCATATTTCAAAGTTATAAGATATCTGTAAGGTGGGGAGAGTAGATTGTCTCTCACATCACTTATGCCTTACTAGGTCCATTGTGCATCCTCCAGAGCCAGCGTCTCAACTCGTCAAAAACTTATGCTGGTTGATAACATCGCCGAGAGGTGTCTATAAGATATTGCACTCTTATTTTGCACGATGTTTTTGTACTTGGTCATTTGGATTCTCAAATTGCTTTACTAAGAACGACATCTACATTTTCTCAACAAACTTGAACCACTCTAGAAGACGATTAATATTTTTTTCTCGAATTTCAGTGAATGGCTAGAAAAATTTTGGAGTACGTGAATGTATCTGTTATAAGGTATCTCAAAAGTCCGACGTACTACTCTAAAGAGTGCATAAAATGCGAGAATGTATCACAAATAACGAGATTGGTATAAGATTAAAAAAAAAAAAAAGACGATTTATTCACAAAAGAATTATACATTATATGTAATTCTCTTGGCCCATCTTATTCTTCTTCAATTTTCATAAAAATTACAGTGCTGTCAAGCCTCAAATATAATTAACAAAATCGACTCTAATTTTTCATATATATCAGAAAACAAATGGAGTAAGTTTAGGAAGTAGAGGGTCAAACCAAAACCTCCATTCTTAATTCATCAATTGTTCGCTGATACACTGCCGATCTGAAGGTGGGAGTATTGTGATGCAAAGTCTAAAGCGAAGTCGCGATAAAACGACCTTAACGCACATATTTTGCAGTCTCTGCTGTCTTGTTGGGGTTTTAATTCAGTCATAAGGATACAATCAAAATGCTATTCACATTTAACCACGTTATTTAAAATTTAAATATTTTTTATGAAACGCGCAATTTACGAGTGTATTTTTGATTTTATTTTTACGTTCATCTATGCCATGAAAACAGGAAGTAATTAAATTGATCATTACAGTAAATATCTTTTTACGTCCAAATTTTCCATTCTCATTATAGTTATTCTGATCCTAAACTATAAGTGTTGGCGCAGTAGCTTTTCCGTTGCTCGAGAAATGTCACTGATTTTGTTTATGTTCGTCAGGCATCATTTTTGGTATCCATTTTGACCCATCTTTCAGTACAAAAAATATTCACTTTGATTTCTTTAATTTCTACTATTTTTGAGTCGATTCACACTCGGTAAACGCAGTTTTAATTAATATTTAAATAATTTTTATAAGAGTTTTATTTACAACCGAATGCAAAATATTATCTCATTGTTTTGAGCATGCTTAAAGAAAAGTGCATTAATTATTTTTTATTATTTTATAAAATTCTAGATGTGACAAGGTATACGGAATTTTCAACACGCTAAGTATACCTTAAAATGAGGTAAACATGGTTTAGTAGAAACATGCACATACCAAAAAGGGGCCACTGTCAGTGAGCATCGATTCGACTTCCGCTCGCCCCACTACATTTATTCTACCTTGTTCAACTTCGTGTAAGGAATAACATCCGTGTTGAAAATTTCATAAGAATATAAGAAGTCTTGAATCCATAGAGTTCTTCTAAGATTCCTACACCAGTCTCGTTAATTTTTGATACATCCTCGTATAGTTTTAAATCCCTTTCTATAGTCAGATCAATTTATGATTACATTTACGTCACAAAATAAATCGGCTGTAATAATTCATGACGTCTGGACATTGGCGTAAATATTTGTTACCATTTGTGTTTCATTGGGAAAAAGACTTTAAATGTGGATGGAGGCCACCGAGGTTCTTTCAAATAACTCATACTTATTGGGTTTTTCACCCTTTATGACCAATTTTACGGATTTTTTTCTTGACTCATGAATCACCTTGTATATAGTAGGCCTACTGAAGGTATACATATATACAGGTATTTAAAATAAAACTACTAAAAAACGTATTAATTAAATTTATTGCATATAACAAAATTTAAAACTATTATTATTGGATACTATTATACCACGATATTGTTTTATCAAAATTGAATGTAGTTACTCTTCTATTTTTAAAATTATCAATGGTTTTTAGAAAATCATGCTTTTTTCTTGATGAATTTCTTACAATTTTATTACAATTTACACTGCGACATTTTATGAATGTCTCTTCCTGAATTTTTAATAATACCTCAACAAAAACAAATAATGAGGGTATGAATTACAAAATGAACTATTTAAATGGCTATGAAATGATTCACATGCATTAGTGGTTCTGTATATAGTAGCTGATGCTTCTGCCTATATATAAGGAGGAAAACGATCTTCTTCTGATATATAATTTTCCACTAAATAATCAGCAAATGTAGCTAATCTTTCGTCGTTGGGCTTTTCTTCTAGGAGTTCAAAAACAAAGAACGTCAAACGAAACGTCAAAAAAGTCAAACGTCAAACGAAAACGTCATGCGAAACGTCAAACGAAAAGTCGATTTTTCAACGTTTTCAGACTAGTAATATCCGAGAAACACGCTAAGGTCCTTCTGGCTTTCGTTCTGCGCATAATTTTTCTTTTCAACGTTCTCTACATAATGTCGTTTTCCCCGTTTAAATCCGACCAACAGTAGCCTAGAAATACGCTAAGGCCCTTTTGGCTTTCGTTCTGCGCATGCTTTTTTTCTTCGTTTACCTATACCGCGTTATCTACATAATGGGTCCTATGATTGAACGTTTACGTTATCCGTAACGTACATGTTAGACCAAGTTTTAACAGTAACGAGGCAAATTCGTATGATGGAAAACTGTTAAATTAGAACATAACAGGCGGAAAATAACAGTAATGTGTTGGAAAAAGTTTTCCATTATACAAATTTGCCTCGTTACTGTTAAAACTCGGCCTAACATGTACGTTACGGATAACGTAAACGTTCAATCATAGCACCCAATGCCGTTTTTTCCCGTTTAAATCTGACCAAAAATAACAAAGATATAAGTTTTATGCCCTTCTGGCTTTCGTTCTGCGCATGATTTTTCTCTTCAACGTTTATCTATACCGCGTTTTTACATAATGCCGTTTTTCCCGTTTAAATCGGACCAATAGCAATAAAGATACACGCTTATGCCCTTCTGGCTTTGCGCATGATTTTTCCGTTCGTCATTAATAGAGATTTAATTCCCCCCACTCCCCGTTCCCTCTCACTCTGTCTCACTCTTACACATTGAATTCCCTATGTGAGCCGATAGTAACTTAGTCTATCTGCTGACGTTTACAAGGCAACAATGACTGATACTAAGTACAAATAGCGTCACACGACGACTCATTCTTTATTTATTATTATTTAGTTTTAATTATCTTTAAACAATGGGTTGGCGATTGGGCTAGCAATCTGTGTACGTGTAATTTTTATTGAAAATAATTTATATTTAAGATAACTTTTAATTAGATATGTGTAATCGATACGAATTGTGTAAATAATGAATGTATATCTGTGGATTTTATATATTTGAAAATAACATATAAGACTTGAAACATGTTTCATAATAATCTTAATTACACTTACGCATGACGTAAATCTAATCATAAAACGATCCGATTTTATCAAAATGATGGAATTAATAACTAACCTGCCCTGGCACTGGAACGTTCCTTCCCTGTCGCATATGCTTTTCATGTTGTCGGTGCCTGCACTGTTCGCCCTGTTAAAATAACATCCATGATATTTATTCAGTTTTAACTTGGCATCCAGTTCAAGAAATAAATAAGTCGCTGCATTAATAGGAACTTCTCTTCTGTTTTTTATCTCGTCTCTGGTTTTGTAAAAATAAGTGCGAATACGATCCTGCGCTCTCCTGAACATGTAATCTTCTTTTGTTTTAGCGGTGGTGTTTAAGCCTGCGTTTTTTTAGTTTATATTATTTAGATTATGAAGAATTTTTTAAAGTAGTTTTGTTTAATTTATGTATGTTTTAATTTTTTTCTATAGATTTATATTAATTATATTTTTTTACCCTTTGTTTAATCAACTTTCTTATTATTTATTATGTCTTTTGTTAGTTAAATATTAAAATATAAATTAAAAATAATCGAAATATAAAAAACGCTGTTGCTAGGTACACGCTAAAGTGTACACAAATCAAAAAATTATATAAACGCGAAACGTCATATTGCTGTGGTGGGAGGTGTTTATGTGAATGCGTCTTGTTTGTTTTCATTTATGCCGTGACTAGCAGTAGTATGTTATAAACCTTAGAAGCAAATTTCACATACATGAACAAATAATAATAATGCCGTGACAACAAGAAAACGAAGCAACGACTTCTTGAAGGGTGGCGGCTTGGCCGCCACCAGAAAATTTCAATCCATACCTAGCTACGCCGACCGGCATAAACATCAACGGCCTGCACACAGCTCACCTACTCTGTCAAGACGTTTCGCGTGTATATAACTTTTTGAATTGCGTACAAGTTAGCGTGTATACACTGTGTAAAAAACATAAATAATATAAAAAGTGTGTAAAAGCAGTTCGGTAGTGATTATGAAGGGAAAATATAATATTTTACGCGAAAATTGTAGTTTTATATAGTTTGTTCGAGAAATAAGTAGCCAAATTGCTTTTGATGTACATACATGTATACCTGTTTAGAAATAGTATAGTTGTAGAAATATTAAAATTCCTATAAAAACAGTCTCAACAAATAAATTGAAAATATCATATTTTTTTAAGAGCCACTTTACACCTCGCAATTCATTGCAAAAAGTTCGCCAACTTGAAACATTAAACAGGTACAAATAAAAAAAAACGGTGCGAGTCGGACTCGAATCTAACATTGCATCCAATAATATAAACATCTCCTGGAATCACACTATTTGGAACAGCCGCAAATCTTATCTCTAACATAATAGTCGGTAAAATGACTAACAAATTACTAATAATGTAAACAACTTGAGTACTAAGTCTCCAAAAAGCACATGCAGCTTATTCAGCTGGCCTAATCGTTCCTTATAATATTTATATTACTACTAGATTGTTTAATTATTAACATGTCAGCATCTACGCTACTAACATATAAACGTAGGGTTTTCATATATTTTGTTAATTCCTATACCCAATTTTGAAAGAGAAAAAACTTATTTTGGTTGTGATTTTTAATCTTTAAAAACAGCGTTTCTAGTTTTTGATAACATTCATAACTGGTGACATAATGAACTTTTCGTAACAAGTTACATAAATTAGATCATTTTGCCAAAAATACCGTGTACGTTTCTCATTAACCTTAATGATTGTATTTAATGTTATTTGATGACTATACTGATTTTCTCTTTTTAATTTATATCAACTTGTATGTTATCATCAAGTGAATGAAAAAAAAAAGTGAAATGAATGAAGATGTTATTAGTGGCGATACCAACAAACCAGCAAACGTTGCAGAAGAACCTCCAGCTGACAATGGAGATGTAGACAATGATGGAGATGCAGAGAAGAAAAAGGAACGAAACAGGAAGAAAGCAGTGGGCAAACCAAAACAAACAGATCCTCCTATTGTTTCAATTGCAGAATTGTTTCCAGATGGTGTATTTCCTACATGAGAAATACAAGACTATCATCTTGTTAAAGACAACAGATCTGTCAGAGATAGTTAGATCTGAAGAATAACATGCACCATTGACAGACGGATGGACAGTCGAGGCTTAGTAATAGGGTCCCATTGGTTACCATTGGGGTACGGAACCCTAACAATGACGTATTTAAGAAACCATTAATTATCCTACTGATATATTTTTCCTTTTTACAAAGGTGGTCTCTGGAAATCGCTGGAAATTGTTTTTATTCCCTAACTTCACCGATAGGGTGCGCAATGCTCATGTCAAATAATAAAAACTGGTTAAAAAAAATTACCAAATTAAGTTATGTCCAAAATATGAAAATCGTAATCTGTGCGAAATTTTACTTAATTTTGACTACCCACTGGATTATCTGTTTATCATTGGCCATAAGCATTGCGCCATCTAGTGGCGAAGTTAGTCACTTTAAAATAAGCGATTCCTCTTGACAGAGGTGTACCTTGAATCTTAAGGGGTGGCACTTTTGCGACAACGCGTAATCTTGGCGTATAGTCCATTGCAAGATAATCTAGAAAGCTCAATGGTCTGGCAACCTCTTGAAACATTCACCAACATACTGATCAGAGCCGGCTTAGGTTGAGTGTTATTTGTAGCGTCCATTTGGGAGCACCGTCCCTGTTTCGGCTAATACACAACCTTCCTTCATGTGTAAATCAAGACGATTTTCTACTATAAATTGCAACAGACTATACCGGCATTACATGGGGATAAAAACTTTTTTCATTAGTTCTTTATGTTTTATTTGTACATTTGTTATCAATAAACATGTGCCGAATTGTAATTTTGAGTTTTTTTTTTGTTTTGGAACTTTGGTGTATCATAAATAGTACTTATACGACACCCACAACAGAAAATCATAACTTTGTACATTTTGATACATTTCTTCGGGTAAAAAAAACCTTGCTGGTTCCTTGGCAGATGTTCGCCTGCAGAGGTATATAAATTGCGAAACTCTTTTTGGATTTGATGTGGCACCGCCTTGTCTTGCGACATTATATATTAATAATAATAATACTCTCCCTAATTCACTCCTTTACGAGTGAATTTCAACCCCTGAAGCTTACGTGGGGAAGGGACGGCTATTATCATTATTTGCCGTGGCGCTCCGGAGCGAATTAAAGATGATTGATGGTGCCGTTTGACTTACAGATGAGGAAAACTGAGAACACCTCTCCCCCTGCCATTTTTATTGTTCATCTCACTCGGAAGTATTTATAATAACCATTTTCTGTTTCACATTGGGTGCGTTCACCAGACGGCAACAGTTGAGTAGTTGAGTAAGCGATCGCGTTCGGCAGGCACGATGACTTTACGCTGAATGTCATCTGCTGCAAATTTCACCCAGCGCGAGGAATTTGCGCTGAGCCGACTCAACATATGCTTAGACATGCTTAGTGAGATGACAGTTCATTGTTGCGGGTGCTTTCTTGATTTTTAAAACGTACATATTATGGAAACTAATACAGAAAATTTGCCAACCTACAGTTTGGTGTTTTCTGACGAGGATATGCATCAGCCAATAATTATAAGGTTATATTCAATAGTTCTGTGACAGACAGAGACTCAACGGTCAACGGAGCGTTCAGCCAATTTCCATCTGCTAACGGATGTTAATGCCCAGCCGTTTAGTGCTTAAAATTAACTGTTGGCGTCTGGTGAACGCACCCATTGTTATTGTCCAGTCCACAATCTGGTGGATCAGACAATAACAATGTGAAATAGAAAATGGTTACTATAAATACTCTCGAGTGAGATAAAAAAATAATATGGCTGCACCCATAGAGTCGCATCTCAAACCTATTAGGTGCGTTTTAATCATCCGCTTCTGCTTCCGGAATTGTCGGTTTAGTCGTTTTAACCTGTCAGATTAAAACAAGAAAACCGACAATTCCGAAGAAGAAGCGGATGATTAAAACGAACCTATTGACAAGCATTCTACCCCACTCTAGTTCATTGGGTGGCATTGGCAAAAAGAAAAGACCAAAATGGTGTCTCTAAGACGTCTCATGAAGGTTCGGGTGATGGGCAAAAACGGGATATTAGAACCAGTGTTGCCGTTTGGGTGGAAATTTGGACTCTGGAATTTTGGGTGGATACAATATTTTTGGGGAATTTGCTCCCTCCCATCGAGGCTCCCGTAATGACTTAAAGCAAATTAATCTTAGGTTTCCTTTTTTTAATAAATAAATAATATTTATTTTTTGCATTAGGTTATTGATATGTTAATCAAGACCTGACACATGATATTATGTCATGTTTTATGTTTTGAAATATAACATGTTTTATGTTTAAACATAATGTTTTTGTGGTGTTGTTATGTGATAATAATTGATGATTGGAGCCGTTTTATTAAGTAATTTTTAATGATGTCCCAGTAAACCACAAATAGTCGGCATTCGCTCGGCCTGACACCGGCATGTACGGGAAGCCGAGTACTCGGATTTCCGTTGTCGGCGTTTCTTCTGAGTACCATTTGTCGTAATTTAGAAGTAGAAACCGCATATGGTCCATATTTGGCGTTACAGCATCCTTACGGGCCGAACGCGGTTAATATTTGGCTAGCCGAGCATGGGAGACATCCTTACAGGCCGAATTATATATAGATATATGAACGCGGCTACAATTTAGTAGGCTGCCGACATTCGGATGGGCAGACATGTCCTACCTATATGCCGAAGCATCACCCGTATATCGGGCCGAGTCCGGCATCCGACAAGCCTCCTTCGGCCCAGTTACGGTACCCATAAACAGCTTATAAAGGTAATAAAAACAGAGCACTTGATTATAGTAAGGACAAGAGAAAATCTCAAAGTCTGTGTCAAAGCAAAGTTAGGCGACCTTTTTCCTTCTGAAAACAACAAATTCCTTTGCTAATACCGCAACAGGCATTGCATTATATCAAAAGGAAAAATTGATCATAATTTTCAGTCTTGTGATTATTCCGCCTTGTTCTAGAGAATTAGTTACCATAGCAAGCTTTGATTTCACTTCCTAAGTGCAAATGGCGTTACCATTTTTTACTCATTGAGTACCTACACTTTCTTAACAAGTTTTAATATATAAGAGTAAAGGTGTACCTCATGTCAAGATTGTCTATTTCTTGCTGATGAGTCCTCATAATGACGAAACCAGTCCAATTATGACGTTCTCCTTAAAATACAAAATCAAAGTTAGAGATCTTTTCCTTTTGATATAATTCAATGTCTGTTTCGGTATCAGCCTAAGGAGTAGTTGTTATTAGGAGGAAAACGGTTGAAAACTTTGCTATGGCACGGACTTTGAGGTTTGCTTTGCCTTTATTTTTCAGATAATTTTTGATTAGCCCTCAGCGTCAAATGTATTTAACCACTAGATCAACTGATTTTTTTTTCATTTTTGTTAACTTAGTGTTTTGCTTTTTTTACTCGATACCGTTCTCTTAATACATTCAAGCTCCGTTTGCTCCATTGATATGGTTTGCTTGATGTCACGTGACTAGGGTTGCCACCTTGTTGAAAACTAAAAAATCTGATGTGTCCAACACATGACTTTCCTATCTAGTTATTGTAGGCTTTTTCCGGTTATTTTGTACAACCTATTACAGCATCTCTATAAATGTTTAGAGGATAAACTAAATATATACATTGTCCACATACATCTACCTCGAAACATTTTTCTATAGATATTCATGGAAAACGAAAATACTGAAAAATTTAAATTTCCTACAATTTTTTCATTACGGTCCATTTTAGAAAAATCATGCATTAACAAAAATTATAGAGATCGATATCGCAAACAACTTTTATTTTAAAAACTTTCATAAAAATCAGAATTTTGCACATTTTGTCAAATTTCTCGAATACGGACCATTTCAGGAAATTTTTACAAAAAACAAAAATTATAGATAATAATATTAGAAGTAACTTTTATTTGAACAATTTTTTTCTCCAAACATTAATAACAGATATATTCCATAAAATATAAAAGTGGCCTCCCATAAAGTACCCCCCCAGATGTTCCGACTATGTCTAAAATCTAATCATTTCACGTCAGGCCGAAATAAACCTTAAGTTTAAAATTTAATGTTTTTTTCTTTATCCGTTTTTGAGTTTTCTTCAAAATTCGAAATTTACACATTTTCTCAAATATCTCGAATACGGTCCATTTTAGAGAAATTATCTATAGAATAAAAATTATAGAGAATTATATTACAAACAACTTTTATTTGAACAATTTTTATAAAAAAAAATTTTTTTTACATTTTGTCAAATTTCTCGAATACGGACCATTTTAGGAAAATTTTGTATATAACAAAAATTATAGATAATTATATTAGAAGTAACTTTTATTTGAAGAATTTTCTTCTCCAAACGTAAATAACAGATATATTCCATAAAATATAAAAATGACCACCTATAAAGTACCCCCCCAGATGTTCCGACTCTGCCCAAAATCTAATCGGCTCATTGGACGCTGAAACAAAGCTTAAGTTTAAAATTTGGTGTTTTTTTGTGTATCGGTTCATGAGTTATGCGTTATACAGACACACACACAGACAGACATCATCGCGAAAATAGTCAAAACGGATTCAGGGGACCTCAAAACGTAAAAATCCGTCGAAAACTCGAGGTCGAAAAAAATCATGATTCCTATACTTTCCTTATATCTGTATACAGATAGGAAAGTAAAAAAGGACTATTGATGCTGACAGGGGCACAAAAAAGTCCTCAGTTTATATTTTTATACAAACCATGTCCCTTCCATAAATATGTGCTGTAAAACACATTTGCCATAAAAAGGTCATTTTAAGCTTTAAAAAGTCACAAGGACATTTGGCTTCAAAAAAGGACTGTCCTGTTCAAAAAAGTACAGGTGGCAACCCTACACGTGACCAAAAAATATACACGTTCTGCTAGAGGAGGTACATTTCAAACGTAGAAAATAACGCTTTTCCGGATTATAGTTATATAGAAAACATTTTTTAGTGTTGGTGGAAAAAGTTGTTAATTTTTAAAACCGTGGGTGGATAAAGGGGGAATTTTGGGATTAAGTGAGGGGAAATTTTACATTTTCCTTTCGGCAACACTGATTAGAACGTTCATTGGACGTCGGACTTACGTCTCGGTACCGGAAAAGAACGTCTTTTACATCTGTAAGACACACATGTTGTAATTGGGAAAGGAACCAAACATTTTTACACGGGCAGGCTTAAGGGATAAAGGGTCCAAATAAGTTTACATAAATTGTTCGAACAATTTGAAATACCTAATCAAAAGCCGTCTAATGAGTCTAATGAGAGCCAATGTTTCATAAAACTGCAAACGCCGCAATATTTCTCATCGTCTTTCGTTAAAAATCAAATCGTTTCTCATTTGTTTTAACTTTACTTGCAAGCAAGGAAAATTGCGAATTGTAAGGTGGCTCTAATAAATTTTAGTGTAACTAGGTCGGCTTTTCAATTCAAAGACCCCATTATCGTAATTTTACTAAAAAAAAACAGTTGAAACATCTACCAAGCGATCCAATATACAAATAAGGTGGCCCAACGAAAACTTGACAGGTCAATTTTAATTTAGAGAAGGACATCCTTCAATCATATCCTCAACTATCAGTCAATCCTTTCTCCTGTGACTATTCGTTGCGTTACTTTTGATTAGATCGCCCTCTAGCGGGTAGCAAGTATTCTAAAGTGTAATGTTTTATTTCAAAGCTTGTTTCATTAGTGATTTAATACGTGTAGAGCATATATTTTTTATTTTAGTTGATGTTTAAAATATGCACTTTTTTTAATAATTTAAATTGAGTTTTCATTAAATTAGGTTTTCTTATATTGTGCATTAAATTACTAATAAAATTAGCTTCTAAATGAAGTATCATCCTTTACAACACGTAACAGATTTTATCCCGCTAAAATAAAAAATAAGGCAATGAATAGTCATACTGCTGAATTCGCCATAAAATTACCTTTTCAATAATGCGTCATACTAGCTATTTTCCCAATAGGTGCCAGTGGGAAATTCTTGTATATTTAGGGGGGTAGCGACATAGTCTTGCAACTTGGACGCTATTTTTATTCGAAGTAGTACTCGCCAAGCCTGCCAATTTATGAAGAAATGTATAGGTGGGTTTTTAAATATTATTTTTATTGTGTTTGACATAAAATATTTAAATGTAATCCATTATTCATGATTTTACGTAAAGTAGATAGAATACACCATATGTCGCCACCCTTAGATATGCCAAACCTGCCCACTGGTAATTCATTTGTTTGGAATGCCTAATTGAATAGAATGACAGAGAGAAGGGAATTGACGTATGCCAATTAACGATATGATTGAAGGATGCCCCCCCTACAAATTAAAATTGACTCCCAATGTCAAATTTTCGTTTAGCCACCTTGTATAATTAAATCCATTTTTTCCATTTCCATACTATATAGTTAAACTTACCCTCGAACCATTCTGGATGATCAGCTTTGGCACTTAATTTAGTTTTTTCGGCGTCCAGTCCTTTCAAAACTTCAGCCAGTTTGTATACTTTGTTTTTCATTTTTTCAGTGAAAAATTCTTGAATTTTTTCACCGGCATTGAGGTATTCTTCGTTGACTTCCCTGATTGTTTTGTATAGAATCTCGGCATCCGTATGAGCTTTTTCGCCTGCAGGTACCCATATCAGAAGCGTTTGAGGAGGAAGAGTCTTAAAAAAAGAATTGCAGGACAAATACACTGATTTTGGCTTGCAAAAGAATAATAAAACTTACTTGAAAATATTCTTCACTTTCTATAATAGTGCCATCTGTGGTCTGAAAATCTATCTGGCCTGGGGAGAATTTGAGCTTAAATTTATCAATGGTCTTTTTCTTTAACTCGTCCAAATTTTTGACAGCAATCCCAACTCGAGTTTTCCTGTCCGCGTCTGTTACTTTAAAGCCCTTGGAAACTGTCATTTTCTTTTAGTTATTCTATTAAAAATGTAAAAAGATAATAATAATAATAATAATGTTTATTCAAAAAAAGAAATATAAATTACAATTACATAGTTAATTTAAATATAAACATTGGTAACTTGCTGAGGCATTGTAATGCCAGTGTGCGAGCTAGGATATTTTATTTTTTTTTTTTAAATACAAATAAAATTCGATATAGAATAATAAATAAATAGATAAATTCATAAATTCAACAAAGCATATAATATAACATAAAACAAGTAATAAAACAAGTAATAGAACATAATAAGCAAACAGTAGAACAAATAGTAACAGGGAGATAAAATATAGACATATTCGATATTTAATTCATAATGAAATATAGTTATTAGGTATTTTTTTTTAATTGTTGAAGTGGAAAATTTATTAATTATAAATTATTTTAGATATCTTAAATCAATAAGGCTATTAAAAATATATCTGTTATTACTTGCTATCCAATTTTTTATAGCATATTTATAACAGGAAAGTTTATTAATATCCTTAATGTAATCTGGTAACATATTGGATGATCTTGGAGCAAAATAATTGGTACAGCGTTGACCAACAGCAGCGGCGGCTCTTCAGGTGAAGTAGGTGAAGGGGCTCTTCACCAAAAATTTATAAAATACAAAAATTACGAAACTTTTTAAATTAATAATTTATAACACTTTTGGCAGCTTCTATCTTTATGTTTTATAAATTTAAATATTTAAAAAATTAATCAAACGCCTCCTGTTCAATATTCAATCTTTCCGCAGCGCAACTTTGCATTAATATGGTACCCCTAGTTAAAATACAAACGATCCAACAAGCCGCGTCGCTGACCGCTATCCCGAAACCAAGTGAAAAGTGAAGTGAAGAGCAAGTATCAAAGCTTTGTCTTTGCTCTGCACCGTTGTCATGGTAACGTGACGTCAGCCTCGTGTGAGCAGGAATACATCCGTGTAAGACTTTTGTTGACATGAAGGGCAATTTAAAAATGGTTTATTAGTATGCATCTTTGTTTTGGGGGACGCGCAAAGATATTATATATGTATTTTGACGTTTTATTTGTTTATTGTATTTCTGTGGCCGTTGGTACGATCAGAAAATTTTGTGTTTATTGATGAGCGTATCGGTGGAGAAAAGTTTTTCATGTTTAAAAAGGTTAAAAACTTTTACTAGAAATACTATTTCGCAAAATAGACTTTCCAGTTTGACTGTTATCTCACTTTATAAAGAACTTTTGTTGGGTCTTATGCGGCAACAACCTTTTTATGACGATATTATAGATAGGTTTGCCTTATTAAAAGACCGAAAACTAGATAAATAATATAAATAAATCAATGTTGAAAGTGTTTTAGTTCTATTTGGTTAAGTAGCTCTTCACCATTTTTTAAAGCCGCGAGCCGCCACTGACCAACAGTCTTTGAAGCTATTGGAAGGTAAGTGCATTTACCTGTAGTAGGGTAATTATGTTGAGGAGAAGTTACTTGAATTTTTCTTTTAAAAGTGTTTAAAAGAATGTTTTGGCAGTATAGCTGTCTCATATCAAAAAATATACTTTCACTGAATAATGCGTCACTCGGATAAGTTACATGTTTTTTTAAATATAAGCTTGATTAGACAATAATACCATAAGTAAGATGCGATTGTACCAGAGACAAATATAAAGTTTTCAGCTTTTATTTATTAGATAGGTTATGGGTTGTAAAATTTCATTTTTAATTTCCTTAATTGTTTCAGCTCTTATTTTGTCCCATCCGGGCGCTTTTTTAGATTTTAATGTATTTATAACATGCTTTATTTTTATTTCAGTTACATGGGTAAATACATAGTGTTTTCAAGTATGTCTAACTGTTCCTCAAAGTCATCTGGAGGTAATATGTTGTTTGCAAGGTTCTGTCCCAATTCGATATAGTAGCTATTGAAGTTATTTGCAATATCATTTTCATCTGTTAATTCTTATCCGTTTCTTATAATTTTTTCAATTTTTGTGTTAGGTTTTTTCTTGCCGCAGATTTTGTTGACACAAGGCTGAAGATGAGTTTTTATTTTTGTCTATTAAACTTTTTTTATTTATATTTATTAAGGATCTGATTTTATTCTTATACCTATTATATCTTTCTTTAATTTCATTATTTTCAGGATTTTTTAAAATTAATAAGTATAGTTTATTTTTTTCTTTAATAGAATTGGCTTATCCATGGTTTTCTTATTTTTTGTTTATTATTTTTTATTTTTACCAGTTTTGTATTTTTATTTATGTAATAGTTTATTTTATTTATAAAATAGTCGAATGTTTCGTTTATATTGTTTAGTTTGTACATATGGTCCCATTTTTCATTGTTTAAATCTGTTTTGAAATTAGGATAATTTAAATAACTTTTCTGGTCTAATGTATGGGTTTTTTTAGCTTCTTGGTCTATATTTATAGCTAATCCTATTGGAAAATGGTCTGTTATATCGTTTACAAAGATAAAGCTTTCCTGTTCTTTTATTGTTTTATTTGATTTAATAAAGAAATGATCTAAACATGTTTTACTAGCCGGTCTTGTAATTTTATTTATATAGGATTCGAAACTATATGTGTTTAAATAGGTTTTATAATATTCAACTCGTTCCTCGTTACTCAGCAAATCGATATTTAAATCACCTACTATAATATGTGTTTGATGTTTCTTGTTTTTTTCTAGATAGCCTAATAATTCCAAGTTGAACTGATCCAGGGTTGAAAGTGAATTTGATGACCTATAGATTGCAGTTAAAAAAAGGTTACAGTTTTTTAGCGAAATATTTACTTCGGCTGCTTTATATTCAGCGATAAATGTTGTTTCAAATTTATAATTTAGTGAAGATTTAATATAAATAATTATACCATCGTTTTTATTTAACATACCACCATTATATAAAATATCATACCCACTCAGTGAAAACACATTTAAAGAATCAAAGAGCTAAAAGGTTTCTGTTAAAACAATTATATCAAACTCCATTTTAAAACTATTTAAAAATATGCATAGATTATCAGAATTTTTACTAATACTACGTATGTTTAAATGTATTATATTAAACTTGGAAACTGTATTTTTTAAATATAATGTGTTGAATTCAGATATATTTTTAATGACTCTAGTATCTACAATTTTGTGTTCATAATTTTGAATATACGCATTCATTTTAAGTTTTTAAAGCTAAAGACAAAACAGTTTTATTTATTATTATTTGTAGAACCAAATCGTGTTCTGGGTTTAACACTATTATTTTTTTGTAGTTCAGCTTTTGGAGTGGAATCTGATGGTTGCTTCGTTTGGACTTTAGAATTTTCTCCTTTCTTTAATTTCTCCAAGTTTGGTGCTGGTGGATTTTCAACGATGTCGACACTAGGAGTGCCAGGTGCGCTGTTCGTGTACACTATATTATTGCCACCAAATTCAGCAGCTTCATAGGCTAATACGTCTTCAGCGGAAAGTATTTCGTTATCAATTAATAGTTTGTCACCTTTAATGTAACACCTATTTGCAGAACTTTTGACTCTTTTTAAATGTCTTCTAAGTATGTTGTTTGTTTCACGTTGAGATGTCGTTAAGTCGTGAGAAATAATAATATTAGTACCCTTCAAATTTGAGCAATTTTTTAGAACTTGTAGTTTTGTATTTGTTGATATAAATTCTACTTTAACCGGTGCTTGTGGTGAGTTTCCCAAACAATAGATATTATTTATTTGATCAACTGTTAATTGTAGATTTAGAAGGTTGTTCAATTTATCACATATATTTCTTGTTGATATATCTGGCACAGAACTTTTTATGCCAAATATGATAATATTATTCCTTTTATTTTGTCGTTCTAATATCTCTACTTTTTCTTGCAAAATTGAATTTTCTTTTTCTAACGTTATGATTTTTTCTGTTAATTTAGTTTCAATTTGCATTAAAATTCTTACTTCACTTGCTTCAACAAAATTTCGCAGCTTCTTAATCTCCTCTAAAAGTTGACTATTTGTTATTAGTGACATTTTAAGTGAATTTTCACCTGGGATGTTTTTGTTATATTTTAAAATGTATTGTTTATTTATTATTTATCAAAAGTTAGCTGAAGCGTCCAGACTAAATTTCTAAATTATCTTTTATTTAGGTTTTTTTGTGAGTGGTCTGTTTTTGTGTATAATTAATTAATTACTTTTATCTCGATACAATCTGTATTATGGAGTGTATGTATTGTTTAATGTACTCACTTTTACTGAATATTTATATTTTTGGCTTACAAATCTCTCAAAAAATCTCTAGAGCACTTTTCAGAATTTTCCGTGCAGTACTTCGCGCTATTTTTGAAAAGTTTTGATGAGCCACTTCACACACAGTTTCACTTTTATAGTCAGGGCGACTTAATAACTTGTGTTTATTTATACTTGTGTTTATGCAAGTTTTCTGAATTAACGATTTATGAGTACGAGTATAGGTGAGAAAAAAGAAGCAGACCAAGGAAAACATGGTGGGATACTGTTAGTAGTGATATGATATTAAAGAGAATCGAAATGGCGTAGAACCGGAGCAAGTGAAAGAAAAAAAACATGGTCGTCGTCAACCGCGCCTAATGGAAGATGATGATGAATAATTAATTAAAACTCATAATTACAATCATTTACAATTTAAGAATAATCAATCAAAGTAAAAATGATTTTTGGATTTACGAAATTTTGCGAATGCAGAAAGACATTTTCTTGCTATCAACAAGTAATCCCCTAACACTTAAACTCGCATTTAACAAAATCTATAAGTTCAGCAACATGACCTAGAAAACTCCGATTGTGTTTATAGGACGGTTGCCCTTTAGAAGCTGCAAAATCGATTTACGACTTATGTGTGGATAGTGTAATAAAAACATTCATATAGAGACATAAAAGTAAATAGTATAAAAGAGAGATATCTAAATTATTATTATTATGAATCACTGCAGACTTCGAAAAAAAAAAACTATTATTAAATGGTTTTTATTAAAAATTATAATAAAAT